GAATCGAACTGCCCCAAAAGACAAAAGTAATTTCGAGATGCCATCGACATGTCATTTACACGACAGTTTGCCCAAACTTCCCCCGACAATGGCGAGCCATTTAATTAAACTTTAGGCAAGTTATGTCCCTGCAATAAGAGCCGCGCGCAACAAGACGACGGATCGCTTTCAGGGTTTCTGCTGTTCTTGCGAGGACGCGCAGCGTGCCGAAAGTTTCCGCTCGGTCGCCGCCAAGTCAAACTATTACCAGCGGGACGAAAGCGCAAACAGAGCTCGCAACAGGTCCGTGTCGAGTGCGAATTTATTTGACAATTCGGAGGCACGGCGCCAGGTCGAAGCGAGCGGGAAGGAGGAACACAACCGCCAAGTCGGGAGCGGCGACGCGCGAGGACGAGTAACGAGCCGCAATACTTCCGCCGTTAATGGCCCACTTGGCGAGCAAGCGTCTCCTCTTCGGAAACAACAAGAAAAACAGCTTAAAAACAATTCGGCCCGGCAGCGCACTCGACCGCCCGAGGGATTTCCCTGGGCGAAAAACGCGAATCGCACGGAAAGCTCGCCGTCCGTGCTGAGGAACGTGTTCTCCGATCCGTCGCCGAGCAAGGGGAAGATCGAAGCCTATATTGATGCTGTCTACGAGCAAGCCATGAAGGAAAGAGCCATGGAACACGAAAGCGACAAGAGAAGTAAGGATTTATTGGACAAAAACGATTTATCAACTGGAAGTTTCGGTGATTCGAAGAGCACATCTCGAGAATCGGGTCGACAGATTCTCGATCGGAGGATTAGTGACGGACGATCTTCGATCTACGGACTAGTTACGGACAATGTTCAAAATAGAACTACAAAATTCACGAATATAGGCGATTATGATTCTGAAAAGTTAAAATCTCGGAAATTCAGTTCGCAATCCCTCGATCATCGGAGCGACGGTCGATCTTTGATTCAAGGATCAATCGCGGATGATCCTCGGGATCCAACTGCGAGACTAACGAAGTTAGAAGATGAACGGGGTTTTACGAGAATGGGCGGTAAAGATGATAATCGGGAGTCTCTCGAGCTAGAGAAGTGCGATAGGTCGGTGAATTTTTCAGAAAGTGGAAATCGCGAGGAAACGGTGCGGGATCGATTTCGTGGCGTAGCTCAGCCAGAAAATACCTTCGATTACCCACCGACGTCCTCGGCAATACACTCGTCGCGAATTCCGGGAGAGAGTCAATTTTCGAGACGGACGGAGAAGAATGCGTTCCTCAACGGCGATAACACGTTGCCTGATAACGGAAGTTTTCCAACGACCATTGAATTTTTTATTCGATCTGGGATTTCGTTCAGGAACGATTCTGACGAGGATATTAATTATGATATCGCGTTACCGACGATAAGATCGAACAGTTTCGAGGGGAACGTGCTCGCGCTATTGTCGAAAATTATGACGTCAGAAACGCGCTCGTCGACGGAAGGTGAAGAGAGACAATATGGATTTAGGGCATCGCAGAACACCTCGGATAACGTTAACGCGTTGAGAAACGCTTCGGTCGTGAGGAAGAACTTAAGTGCAGCCGCGATTCGAAGAGGTAATACGAGCGGCGAGGAGAGAAAAACGGAAAATGCTAATGTATCGACGCAAATCTCGACCGCTCCTGCTTTTACAAGATTACGAAAGCTCTCCTCTACCGTTGGAATCTCGCGATTGGAAGAATTATCCGCGCCCACCGCCGTCGCCCCCGCCGTCGTCGTCGTCGCTCGTTCCGCGGATAAATCATTGACGAAAATCCTGGAATCAAAAACTCACGGTTCGTTACCGACGAACGAGATACGGGGATCTCCCGACGACTTCGGGGATTTATACGAGGACCGAGAATCGCGCGGAATGTATAACTCGTCCGAGCGAGCGCCGAAAGACGTGAACTTGAAAAACAGTTACAAATTCTGGAAGCCTCGCCGGAAGTTGCGGAAGTCGAAGGGCGCCGCAAAGTTTCGCGGGGACAAGGGCGTCACAGGGGGGAAGTTGAAACGCTTCGGGAAGTCGAGCCGTGGATTGACGCGAAAGCGCGCGTTGTCAGATTTTAAGCGCGACAGTTTTCGGAGCGAGTTTCCGAAGCGCGAGAGACGTTTTCGAAGACATCTCCAAACCGGAAAGGAAGTTTTCAACATCGCGGACGCTCGGAGCAACGGTTTGACAGACGAAGGCTCGCGTCGCAAAAAAATGCAAGCTTTTGTAGATTACTATGCGCGACCTGAGATAGCTCACTCTAAGCGGAAGATATCGAATAATGATGGAAATGAAAGTCCGAAGGAACAAGTGATTTTGGAATCCGGCCATTCTTATGGGAAAGTCCGGTCCGAACAGAACGATAATCCGTTCTACTCCAACAATAAAGATGGCAAAAAGAGCAGCGTCGATAAGCGGATCGAGGACAAGTTCGTGCGAATAAGCAACGTCCTGAAGGAAGACTCTACCGAGACGGGAATTATTCAAGAAACTCCGGAGAATTTCGAAGTAGTTACAAAGAGCGAAGTCGCAAAAGCCGATATCCCTAAAATTCAGGATGAGCTAGGAGACAATTTGTTTTCCGGAGAAAACGGCAAATCGGACGAGTTGCTTGCGATTCATGAAATAACGCACGAGCAGCCTGCAGAATCAAATAATACACGATTGAAAGAAAACTCTTTCGCGACTACGGGATCTACAGTGACAAGCAATGAAGTCACCACGATTACGTCACCAATTACGCGAAAAGATTCCATCAGTCATAAAGAATCCGTTTCCTTCAAACCCTCGATCGAACCTTTTTCATCATCATCGATTACGAGACAGCTCGATTACAATGTCGCAAAGAAAATTGATTTTAATAAATCAAAAAATCCGATTAATGCAACCGAATTCGCAATGGGGCAGACGAAAATCTTCGCGCAAAATATCAATGACTATTTCGAGATCACCGATGATCCACTTAGAACCTTATCTAGCAATTGGCCGAGTAGTTCCAAGAAAGTGACTAAAACACTGAACAATCGAGGCGAGGGCGAGCGAGATGAAACGGAAAATGCGAGATTCCTCGAACTTAATGACAACTCTTCGCGGATTACTGCTGGCAATTTCGTGGAACCTAAAGGCCCGCTGATCGACCCGGGGCTCTCATCACGCAAAAGCGCTGCGATTACCGAACCTAAGGAAATTTCGTTGAGCGACGAGGAAGGAATAGGCTCTCGTTGTACCGAAGATTCGCTTTTAGAAAATTCGGAGGGTTTTCTAGAGCGCTCCCGGGAAAAGGAAGAAATTGCCGAGCTGGTGGATCGAATCGTGAGACAATACGCGGCATACACGCCCATCATGCCGGGCATGCCGACTTTTGACGAGATCACGGAAGCGGAAACCTTGCCGCTTGAAGAAGAGACGACCGTCACTCGGTTCACGACGACTTTCGCGACCACCACCAGGATTACGGACGTGGCTTTCCGACCTTCCGTACGCCCGTTGGAAACGACACCGCTCCCGAGAGAGATGCACGATGAGATCTCTCTGGACGAGACCACCTTCG